TCCGCCTATGATTTGGTATTTTCAAAGCCAGATGACAGCCTACCCGAAAACTTTAAGAATTCGGTAGAAGGCAAGTACTTCACTTGCCTTGAATTATATGAGGTGACCAAAGCTAAAATTGCCGATCAACTGTCGTTGATTAGAGTGATCGCCGCACCGAGTCCACCACCCCGCGTGGAACACACCTCGGCAGAGGCAAACGTTTTTCTCCAAGCCCCACCTTGTGACACGGAGACATTTTACGGCGGTTACGAAGAATGGCCCGCTTTTCGTGACATATTCACAGCGGTGTACATCAACCACCCGAAGCTCTCCCGTGCTCAAAAGTTGTATCACCTCCAGCACAAAACCCAAGGAAAAGCTGGCTCCATCGTCAAGCATTATCCGCTCAGCGATGATAACTTCGAGCTGGCCTGGGAAGCTTTACGGTCACGATACGAAAACAAACGTATCCTGGTTGACAACCAAAAAAATTTTGATGACTTTGCCGACTATTCAATCCGAGAATAGCGAGCAAATTCAAAGGCTGCAAACATCAATTAACAACTGTCTGTCAGTTCCATATTGGTGTACATATGCTCATCCAAATTGACCGAAACCACACTGTCACTTTGGGAACAATCTCACTCTTCTCGAAGAGATTTACCCTCATGGTCACAAATGGACGATTTTCTTACTTCAAGATACGAAGTAGTCGAAAGACTTAACCGGCTTCATCCAAGCCAAAATAAACAAAAACCAGTCGCTCATCAAAATGCTGCACAAAACAGGTCCTTTAACAGGACGCAAACCTTTGTGGCAGAACCTAAGAGGGAAACAACTTGCTCTTACTGCAAGTCCCCTCATCCCATTAGAGTCTGCCCACAATTTAAGCGAATTTCGGTACCAAGCCGAGTACAATTCGCAAACCAAACCAAGCTGTGCAAAAACTGCCTTGGTAATACCCATAGCACTAATGAGTGTCCGAGCAAGTGGTCATGTACACATTGCCAAGAACGGCATCACTCCCTGCTGCACATGAATCCCAAACCATATTCTCGACACTCCAGTGCGCGAGCGAATGAAACCGCCGCACAACACACTACTGCCCAGTCGACACCTCCCGCTCGACAAGCGCAGTCAAGCTCCAATTCCAGCGAGCAACCGTGCTGTTCCAAACAAGCACAAATACAATCATTGCACGCCGACAATAATAGCAAAATTCTCCTACCAACTGCCATGGTCGCGGTTGAACACGAAGGGGAATTGTTTCAACTTAGAGCCTTGATTGATCAAGGCTCCCAGAGAACTTTCATTTCCTCGAAAATTCAGAAACGGTTGAAACTACCATTCGAACATTCCAAGTTCGAAATTTCCGGCTTGGGTGGACACGTAGTACAAAGCTCCTCAAAGCTTTGTCCACTCACATTGGTTGCACCCAAAACCATGCAACGGATAAACATACAGGCTAGCGTGTTACCTCAGCTCACGAGGCACATTCACCATTAGCCGTGAAAACTGGCAGCGATTCAAGATCCTTGAACTTGCTGACCGAAGTTGCCACATACCAGCTCAAACTGATATGGTAATCGGCAGCGATATACTTCCACAAATCCTGCTGGAAGGTATACAAAATAACCGAAATGTGGTGGCATTCTCGACACAAGTAGAAGAGTGCAACTCTCAGCTCTCAGCTTCTAAAGTTTTGGGAAGAGGAGGAGATTCCACAACCTTCACAAATTTCATCTGAAGATCAGGCATGTAAGCATATATATGCAACAACAACGACTCGTGCCGCAAACGGTCGATACATTGTGCGACTTCCATTCAAGGAAGAATTTCCAAAAGAGCTGTCTCTGGGCCACTCTCGGTCTGCTGCACTTCAGCAGTTTTTTAGCATGGAGCGATGGCTCCAGAAAAAGGAGACTTAGGCACATTGTACAACAATGTGCTGCAAGAATATCTCGACCTCGGTCATATGGAGCACACGAAGCCATGCGAGATAATTTCTAATGGCAAATAAGGTAACCACCAAAGTTCGCGTGGTATTCAACGCCTCAAAAACATCTGGTTCAGGAAAATCCCTGAATGACGTGTGGCACACTGGTTCCACACTCCAACCAGATCTCATGCTGCTCATTCTGCAGTGGCGAATGCACAGATTCGTGTTCAATGGCGACATTGAAAAAATGTATCGTCAAATACTCATCCATGAGGACGATAAAGATTTTCAGCGAATCTTATTTCGCACATCGGATGACTCTCCTGTCACCGATTATAATCTTACAACCGTAACGTTCGGCGTTAATTGTGCACCATATCTCGCTTTCCGTACCCTGCATCAATTAGCAGATGACACGATAGCGACGTTTCCCTTGGCTGCCACAATACTTAAAACCTATCCTATCCGGAAGTCATGATATCGACAACGCCACTGAATCACTTGTTCAAGTGAACAAAGCGCTGAAGTCAGCTGGTTTCATACTCAAGAAACTAACGGCCAATCATCCGGCCATTTTAGAAAAATTTCCAAAGGAGGATCTTCTCGACTCCAACTTTATGAAATTTGAGAGCGCTTCCACAACCAAAACTCTTGGTATACAATGGAACGCACTCACAGATAAATTTTCAAACACCATTCTGCCTGCATCGACTTCGAATGCCGTCACAAAACGACACATTTTATCTTCTGTCGCAAAACTTTTTGACCCGGCAGGATGGCTGTCGTCAGTGATGATTCAAGCAAAGATTCTGCTTCAAGAACTTGGCTGGATGGCATTGATTGGGACGAATGTGCCAAACCCATAGCTTTAGCAAAATGGCAACAGTTCGAAGAAAATCTGCCAGCCGTCTGCTACATCGAAATCCCTCGATGGGTTAATTTCACTCCGGGGCAAGATACCCAAATCCACGGGTTTTGCGATGCCTCGAAAAAAGCATATTGCGCTGCGATTTACATCCGCGTAGATGCTAGCAACCAAAGATATTCCACTCTCTTGGTTGCAAAAAGCAAAGTCGCACCATTGAATACGGTAAGCTTGCCACGCCTGGAGCTGTGTGGTGCAGTCTTACTCGCAAAACTGGTCGCAACTTTTCGAAAACAGCTCCAATTGGAATCGTGCAACACTTTCTTATGGCCAGATTCAGAGATTGTGCTAGCTTGGCTTGAAAAGCCACCATGTACATGGAAGACGTATGTATCCAATCGTACCTCCCAAATCCTGAAATATCTTCCAACCGGTACATGGCGCAATGTTGCCAGCCAAGATAATCCAGCCGACCTCGGCACCCGCGGGTGCAAACCGCAGGATTTGGCGAATTCCCCACTCTGGTGGCACGGACCAAAATGGCTCTCTTGACATATGGATGCATGGCCAAGGTCAAAGGCGTGCAATGCATCTCCACAGAAAAGCGCAAGGTGGAGGTATATCACGCGCTCGAAGAAGAGGTCGATTTTCTTGATCGCTTTTCTTCCTTCTCTCGAGCACTTCGCGTGACTGCGTACATGTTCCGCTCCGTGAGCAATGCACGCAACAAATCAAAGGGGTTAGCTACAATCACTAATCCACATCTTCCGCATAACGAATTTCAATATGCAAAGATACGTCTTATCAACGCAGCGCAATCACGCCATTTCTCAAGCGAAAAAAGCGCTTTGCAAGATAAAAAGCCACTTAACAAAAAATTCCTCTTCTTGTTCTCAATCCTTCATTGGACAAAGACGGACTTCTACGGGTTAATGGCCGATTAGCACATTCGACATTGAGCTATAATCAAAGACACCCAATAATTCTCCCTACCGAATCGAGGTTCTTTCAGCTATATTTGGAGTTTTTACACTCGCTGCTTCTTCACGCAGAAACACGATTAATGCTCCAAATGGTAAGGCAAGAGTACTACGTACCAAAGCTAAAACCTCTAATTAAAAAATGCATTTTTCAATGCAAACAAACACGCACCAAAATTATTATGGCCGCTCTACCCCCTGAGCGCTGCAGTTTCTCACTCCCATTGTCCACAACGGGAGTAGATTTTGCTGGGCCATTCCAAATTAAAGCATCGGTGCTAAGATCTACCACCCTTATCAAGGGATACGTTTCAGTTTTTGTGTTTTTCCACAAAGGCAGTGCATCTCGAGCTATGCTCGGATCTTACAACCGAGGCTTTTCGAGCAGCATTCGCCCGCTTCGTTGACAGACGAGGTTTCCCCTGAAAAATGATGAGCGACAATGGAGAAACGTTCATAGGCGCCCAACGCACTACAGAACGCGACTTCGTTAAATTCCTTAACGAATGTTCCGTAGACATTGTAAAAAAATATGCCCCTCAAGGCATCAACTGGCAATATATACCACCCAACGCCCCCACATGGGCGGCTTGTGCGAATCTGCAGTGAAAAGATTTAAAATCCATCAAAAAAACCGCTGCAACCCACAAATTTACCTTTGAAGAATTCACGACGCTTCTGGTGCGAATTGAAGCAGTCCTCAGTTCGAGGCCTCTGTCTGCACTTTCCCAAGAACCAGCTGATATGACTGCACTTACTCCGGGTCACTTCATTCGAGGTGCGCCGCTATTGGCCATGCCCGAGCCTGATGCGGAAGACCTCCCCCTACTAACCCGGTGGGAGAAAGTCAAAGCACTTCACCACCAATTTAGCCGCAGCTGGAAAGAAGATTACCTCAAAGATCTTCAGAAGAGATACAAGTGGAAAACCCCACAACGCGATCCTCAGCCAGGCGACCTCGTCGTGATCAAAGAAGATTCTCTCCCCGCCACCGAGTGGCGATTGGGACGAATCGAAAACGTTTCGCCACGGCCCTGATAAACACATACGTGTCGTAGAAATCCGTACAAAAAATGGAGTTATCACGCGGCCACTTGTCAAACTGTGCTTCCTTCCAAAAGTACAATAAATAATTCTATACATATTTTCCTTCTGTATATTAAGGGTCTTAACTTCCCGTTTAAATATTGTACCCAAGTACTTCTCGTTTCTCTACCTTTGCTTCTACTTCCAGATCGAAGACATCACGGCATCAAGGAAGGCATGCCCCCTGGCTCCAACGGCGGAAACGGGCAACTGCCTACAATGCCGGCTCTGCCACCGGTACCACGCCTTGCGGACGTGCTCGGCCTTCAAGGCGATGAAGCCGCTAAAACGGTTGGGAGTAGCCCGAGCACAGGGTTACTGCATCAACTGCCTTGCCCTCACCCACACTACCGGGGAGTGCGACTCGCCAGGCAGCTGCAAGACCTGCAGGCTAGCGCACCACACGCTGCTGCATGTGGCAGCCAATAACCATGCGCGCACAGGCCAACGAAAGCAGCAGCCCAAGCATCGCGCACATGCAGGGAAGCCAGTAAAGACGCCCACCAACAAGGGAAGCCCGGAGCAAAAGGCGCAGAGCCCGCGCAACCAGGCGCACAATATGCGCAATCAGGCATCGCAACCGCCGCGCAAGAAGACCGCCCGACGCTCGATTGCGCGCACCCTCCAAGGCCTGACACACACACACACTCAACGTGTATAGTGGTCAACATCCATAGAGTGAAGACGTGTTTTTTTCAAGTGCTCCTGTGGAAAGTGTAGAAAAATAATAACCAAGTGACAAAAATAGTGTTGAAAGGTGCCGATAGCCTTAAATTGCGTCACCATAGATCGAGGGCGCCAAGGCATCGCCTCCTAAGCATATACAGTGTCTGAACTTAAAATAAAAAATTAAAAATCAAAGACTCATAAAACTCGCTTAACTACTTGCCTACTGCTTCGAAAGCGAAGAAGGGAGAGCTGGTAAGCAATCGGCGCGATACACTTAGAGTACACAAGTACCAAGCAAAGGGTCACCGACCTTGCCAATAACCTTCTCCCTCTACTGCTGGTAGCAACAGTGCTTAAAATTACAAATACCAAACCAAGCACTGAATACCTAGCGGCCTGGCGAGTATGAAGAGAAAGCGAAATAATGTCAAAAAGCGATAATGCAAACGATGCTCTCGACGCTTTCGCAAGCCGAGCGAGAATTGCGCGATCACCAGTGAGAAAACAATTACTCACACCCGATCAACCAATTGCGAGCGCACAACAACTGGAGGTAAAATCTCCGAGCTTCAGAGATGCGTGCGAAAGACATCAAAGCGAAAGTGATGGAGCAGATGAGACAAAAGAAGAGCGAGAGTTAATCATTGTGTTAGGCGAGAGCATAAGAGAGCTCATCAATATGATGGAAGGGCAGCGGCACATTAACATGACGATGAGAGAGCTAGTAAGCTCAATAGCCAAGCAGCACCAGAAAATACTGGCTGAATGTAAGGTAGTGCCACCGCCCACTGCATGCGACTCTAAAGCAACACAAACGGAGAGCAATACCAAGGAGAAGAAAAAAAGAGCTAATGCTGGTAACAAAGAGCTGCACGCAATGAAGACTGGCCATCCAACAATGCAGCACTCCCACGTCGCTACGCAGAACGAGCCAATAGGCGCGCAGCCTATGCCATTGCAACGCGAAGGGAAAATCGGCGCAAACCAACCAGGCGTCAGTGGAGGCGATCACATAGGATCGAAAAACAGCCAATAAACGGAGCGGTGGATTAAGGTATCGGGACGTAAGGTTAGAAGTAAACCAATGAAGCCCGATGCTGTGATCTTGAAGAAAAACGGCGATATGACATACGCAGATATGTTGAGGAAAATCAAATCACAGCCTGAACTAACTGAACTCAGCCTGAATGTTAAAAACATACGGAAAACGGCAAGCGATGAGCTTTTGTTCGAACTCAAGAAGCCGGCCAATCATTTAACCCAAAAGTTTAAGGCAGCGGTTGAAACTATACTGGGCGACAATGCGCAGGTCCGATCCCTCACCCAAGAATCACTAATTGAAATTAAAGATTTGGATAAGGTAACATCCAAGGAGGAGGTGCTGAAAGCGGTAAACGATAGCCTTATCGACGCCCATATTGGCCTGACGGCAATTCGGTCCATGCGAGCTGCATATGGGAACACGCAAACCTGCACCATGAGTCTGCCAACAGCAACTGCTTATAAGCTGCTGGAAAAATCAAAAGTCCGCATCGGATGGGTTTTTTTGCCCCATAAGGGAAAAAGAAGATTTGGTGAGATGCTACAAATGCCATGAATATGGACATGTAGCTAAGAAGTGTAAGAACGAAGAGGTGCGGAGGAAAAGACCATAAAGCAAGAGTCTGTTCAAATAGCCCGTCATGCGCCCTCTGTGCCAAACAAGGCGAAAGCAACCCAAACCATGTAACAGGCAGTCGCTTTTGTGTGGCCTTCCAACGGGCGAGAGCAAAACAAGGAGCTACTAAACAACGGCGATCATGAGGTGTCTACAGCTCAACCTCAACCATTGCCAAGCGGCCCAAGAGCTGCTTACACAAACAGTTTTCGAGCAAAATATTGACCTCGCCTTATTAAGTGAACCTTATGAAAATGAAGAAGACCTAGCGTGGATAAATAATATAACAGGAAAGTGCGCGATCTGGAGCTGCAACACCACCCCGCAGCACCTTGTAGTAACTTCATCCACAAGCGGGTTCGTAAGCACCAGAATAAACGATTTATACGTCTATAGCTGCTACATACCACCGAGCACTGATCTGGCTAGCTTTACAGCCATCATCGACGAGCTAGTTTGCGAGACTTCAACGCTTGGGCAGTAGACTTCATCGCTTGGGCAGTAGAGTGGGGATGCAGAAGAACAAACGCAAAGGGTAGACAATTACTCGATGCTCTAGCAGCACTTAATGTTATTCTGCTAAATACTGGCACCGAAAACACTTTTTGTAGGAACGGAAGGGGATCCATTATCGACCTGACCTTTATAAGCAGTGGGCTGAGCAGGGATGCCACCTGGCATATCAGCGACTGCTACACCCATAGCGATCACAGGGCAATAATAATAACCATCGAGAAACCAGCTATCGACATAGCCCCTCCCAAGAGACGCCTCGGATGGAAGGTAAAAAGCTTTGACGAAAAACTCTTCGAGGTAGCCTTCAGCAATACGCACGTTTCAGGCCCGGCAGTAGCCGCAGCACCTGAGCTCATGAAAGCCATTGTTGAGGCTTGTGATGTAGCTATGGTGCGCCAAAACCGGCATAAAGCTCGCAAGCCAGCTTACTGGTGGAACGACGAGATAGCCGCGTTACGAACACAATGTAACCGTGCCAGAAGAGTTTGCCAGCGCTCACGAAACACAGAAAATGCTACTCATCTCCGGATGGACTATAAGGAAAAGCGAAAGCTGTTTAAGAAAGCTATCTATGACAGCAAAAAGCTAATGTTTAAAGACATCTGATATGAATTGATCAGCAACCCTTTCGGGTTTGCTTACAAACTTGTGCTCAAAAAATTTGAGCATACAGTACAGCCAACATGCCCCACGCTCCTTGCACAAATCGTACACGATCTCTTTCCCGCACATACAACGTTCACGCGGGAACTCTGTGAGGAACCTACTAGTACCGTCCCGGAGGTAACGGTAGAATAGGTCACAAGTGCGGGAGGCGAGATAGCCGTTAACAAGGCACCAGGACCTGACGGAGTACCAAACGTAGCCCTAAAAAAAGGCGATTGCTTGCAATCCGGAATTATTTGCTAGCGTCTTTACTTCATGCCTTCGCGAAGGAATCTTCCCAAACATATGAAAGCTCCAGAAGCTGGTACTCATACCAAAGGTCCAAAACCCTACTTCTTCTGCTGGATATCGCCCATTGTGCATGCTGGACTCCACCGGTAAGGTACTCGAGCATATTATAAAACGTAGACTCGAAGAGGCCACAGAGATTCATCTATCTAAAAACCAATTCGGCTTCAGAAAAAGGTGTTCACCTACAGACGCAATCGATGTAGTTAAAGCAATCGCTGAAAAGGCCATTGCTGGCAAGCGGTGGTTGGGTGGTACTAAGAAATACTGCCCGGTTGTCACCCTTGACGTCAAAAATGCGTTTAACAGTGCGAGCTGGAAGGAAATTTTAAATGCCCTCCGCGCCTTAGAGGTGCCAACTTACCTGCAGGCAATCATTTCCAACTATCTTTCGGATAGAATGCTTCGCTATGACAGCGAAAAACAAACGACTGACAAAGTAGTATCATCCGGCGTGCCCCAGGGATCGGTACTAGGACCCCTCCTGTGGAACGTCATGTACGATGGCATCCTGCGACTAAAAGTCCACAAAAGCGCAACGTTTGTAGGTTTCGCGGACGACGTATCAATCGTGGTGGAGGCCAAAACACTCAGAGAAATTACAGACATTGCGGAAGCCGCAATAACAGCAGTCAAGCAATGGTTAAATGCTAAGGCGCTAACGCTAGCAGACCACAAGACCGAGGCTGTACTTATAAGCACCCGTAAGAAAGTTGAAAAGGTTGTACTTAGAGTAGGAGATAGCGTTATAGAGTCGAAACCATATGTGAAGTATCTTGGCGTCCTTATAGATCATCGCCTATGCTTCCGTGACCACTTAGAGTATGCTAACCAAAAAGCTGCGGGGACGGCAGCCGCTCTTTCTCGGTTAATGGCGAACATCGGCGGGCCAAGACAGGCGACAAGGCAAATCCTAGCAGCAGTGGTGACATCCATACTCTTATACGGGACAACGGTCTGGAGTAACGCCTTCAAGCGCCCTTCGTATACTCGGGGTATTAGGGCTACGCATCGTCTCTGTGCTCTTAGAGTCTGTTCAGCTTTTAGAACAGTATCACAAGAAGCAGCCCTTGTTATAGCAGGCCTATGCCCACTCGACCTCGTGGCTCAAGAAATGAGCGACACAAGACAGGCAAAGCGTGACCAAACACACGCTGCCGGAACCGTGGATAAAAATGCACTGAGGCAGCGCAGCATATCCCAGTGGCAGAAAAAATGGGAGAAAGCGTCGAACGGTAGGTGGACTTATCGGCTTATCACGAACATTGGCGCCTGGGTGGAACGACAACACGGTGAGGTAGATTTCTACCTCACACAAATTCTGAGCGGGCACGGATGCTTTAAGGCTTATCTCCACCGCTTTC